GTTGGCACATCGAGCTTTCTTTATTATCTTGATGTCTAAGATTTAAATGGGGGCCAGTTTCTCATAGAAAATTTCCCAGGAGATACTCCCTTGCCATGTTGCATAAGTGTTGTATTGATGATGTAAACCAAATCAAATCATAATTGAGGTTATGTTTCTAGATATGGTCAACAAAAAATATAGAACTTTTCACTTCATAAATTGCTTATAAAGCAGTGTCTATATTTTAATCATCTGTTAATACCATCAGGAGTTAGTCTGAAAAATTTTTAAATATTGCCATCCATTTTGCCAGTTTTTAATTTTTTTGCCATTTCAAATTATTTATTGCCACCAGTCAGTTTTACTTACTAATGTGAGATAGTCCACGGGTCACCTTGTGAGAGTGTAACCCCATTTTGTGGCACTGGATTGGTGGGATCCATTCTCAAGCGTCACTGGATGACTGTAAGTTAGAATTTGTCATGGGATCTCGAGATCCCTGATGATATCAGGATCTGACACCAGGCAAGAAAGTTTAATCATGTCTTGCTTCACAATTTAAAATATACTATTTGTTGCATTTCTTTCCAAGAGGAAGGCTATTGGTTACAAGTGGGGAGATTGCAGATCAGTCAAAAGGCATCATCTAAAACAAATTGAACTAGAGCCAAGAGAAGAATTAACTAACTAATTTAATAAGTGGATAAAATATAAATAATTAACATACACTATCTCTACCGAACTAGATACACCTCGAGACAGAGTTTATATCAATCTATAAAATACATCTTAAATAATCATCAGATCCTAGTTATGTGAACGTTGGAGTAACATTCAGGGATCTACTTGGAGTAACATTTGGGGGAGCTTTTGATGCAGCGTGCACCACAGTAATGTTCAGTAGAAAATACAATAACAATATGGAAATGTACAGTAGAAAATACAATAATGGAAATGTTCAGTAGAAAATACAATAATGGAAATGTTCAGTAGAAAATACAATAATGGAAATGTTCAGTAGAAAATACAATAACAAGAATGTTACAGAGGAATACATGTTGGGAGTGCTATGTTACAAATTGCAAATAGCACTAACATATTTACAGATAATAACATATATACAGTATGCAGATTAATATTGGTACAAGAAATTACATGTTGAGTGCTGTCTGACAAATCACAGATAGCACAAACATAATAACAGATGACAAATACACACTCTGTCGCAAAAAAATGTATGCACCCAGAAGAAATCGAGCCACAATCATGAAAGTCGGTAAGAATGTAGACTAGTAAGACATATGCAAATGATTAAAAATTCAGAACAAAAGATCATTTTATTAAGAAGTTATGGCATGAAAAACGTTATAAATCAGTAAGTAGTAAAGCTACCTCTGGCAGCTATACAAGCCGAAACACGGCGTGGCATTGAATCAATTAGGTCACCTATGACCCCTTGCGGAAGATCATGCCATAATCTTTGCAACTGGGCAGTTAATTCACTTGTATCACAAGACGGCTGCATTTGCCTTCCCAATACGTCCCAGACGTGCTCTATTGGTGAGAGGTCTGGTGACCTGACAGACCATGGAAGTACATCATATCCTTGAAGACACTGTTGGGAGAGTCTCGCAGTATGTGGACTAGCATTGTCCTGCTGATAAATGGCACCTGGGCGACTTGATAGAATAGGCAGTACAAGTGGTGTTAAAATGCTGTCCACGTAACTGCGAGCCATCATGTTGCCTTGAAGGACGACTAGAGGTGATCGTGTGTCATAACAAATCGCTCCCCACACTGTCACACCTTGTGTAATCGCTGTATACCACTCGACAACAAATGCCAGATCAGACCGCTGGCCGGGCCGCCTTCACACGCGTGTTCGGTGGTCATCAGCACTGAGACTGAATCGGGATTCATTGCTGAAGACCACATGCCTCCAGTCGGTCACGCTCCAACTTGCCCGAGATCGGCAAAAATCCAATCAACACTTCCTACGATGTGGGGTCAGTGGTAAGCGTCTTAATGGACGTCGGCTCCTTATACCAGCGTCAGCCAGTCGTCTCCTAATGGTTTCCCTTGAAGCCACCAGATGCCTGGAAGGTGGTAAATGACGTCAAATCGATGATAGCGATGTTGTTGGTGCGGACGTTGCCGCTCTTCTGATTGTGCGATCCTCGCACTCATTTGTGTTTCTGGGACGTCCTGACCCTCCACGACGGTAGACTCTCCCTTCCGTCATCCACTGTTGCCAACACCGAGCAACTACCATATCGCTTCGACAGAGGTGGCGGCCAATATGCCTGTTCGACCAACCGGCTTCTCTGAGACCTACTATACGGCCCCTTTCAAACTCCATCAACTGCTCATACTGCCGCTTGTTACATCTCAGAGGCATCTCTATTCACAATACCATCCATCCAAGTCGACAGATTCGTTTAAATAGCCCTACAGCGCAAGCACTCGTCCTTTTAAACTCTCCCAGCTGCGCATCTCATATGCTCGTACCACCATTAGCCTTGTCTCATTGGCGTTGAAATTTTTATCATTTGCATATCTCTTACATTCGTACCGACTTTCGTGATTGTGGCTCGATTTCTTCTGGGTGCATACATTTTTTTGCGACAGAGTGTATGTACATTATTCAGATTAACAATTTTACAGAAATTATATGGGGAGTACTATGTGACAACAACAGATAGTACAAATGTATATACAGTATGCAGATTAATATTGATACAAAGTTGTTACATGTTGAGTGCTGTTTGACAAATCATAGCTAGTTCAAACATAAAAGCAGATGACAAATGTATGTACAGTACAGTATTCTGATTAACTGTGCATAAACTAGATACAGGGTAGGTGCTAGGTTCCAGATTACAGGTAGCCCGAAGAAATTATCAGATTACAAACATATTTACAATTGACATTCCTAGAGTTACACTAAAAGCACAGACATGGTGATTTTTATTAATGTGTGGTGTTAACGTCGTAGTTCAGTAGATTTGCATGGCTACAAGGTCCTGCCGCTAAGTGTTTTTCATTCTCTCTGTAAGCACTTTTTAACAAAGTAGAAACTTACTTAATCTGGCCAGAGGAAAAACTTTTCTCAAGCAGAATGTGTCAAGTGCAGAGAATTGTGTACATTTCATTTAAATATTACTGGGTACTGATAGCAAAACTTGATTTTCTTATTAGGTTTAAATCCAGTTCTTTGTTCCATTGCATTCCAAACAAAATTATACTCTCAAATTTGTTTTTCTTAGAAAACCACATTGGTAGGTATAGAGGAGATATAATTGGTATAAAATTTACCATTACCATTGATTGTTGAGTACAAGAAGGTAAAGTAAATTTCATCATCCGAAATGAACTTTTCAGAGAATTTGTGTAATAGCCTTCACGCTTTGTCTTTGCCAATGATCTTTGTGTATCTATTCTGTCCAGAGTTGCTTGCCTCTTTCAATATTCAATGTATTTTTGTTTTTAAAGCCTCTTGGAGCCAACCATGTAAAATTTTTAATTTTAGGGATACAGATCAATATTTTAATGTGTAAAATTGTACACTTTTAGGCATAAAACATTTTTCATTGCCATTTTGAAAGAGGAAAAAAACAGAAAATTGAATGCAGGAAAAGATTTTAGTGTGTTCCACTGCATTCCATTCACTTTAAAATTACAGCATGTGCAAGCATAATTAGATATTTTGAGATATCCTGAGATATTTTGTGCAAATTTCTTCCAGTCATTAATTATTTGAGATCATCATATCTTAATCTCATTAGCCTATTACAATAATATAAGTATTTGGATGAAAATTCCAGAAAAAGTTGTGCAGCACTCTTTTGAAGAAATGTTGCATTTTCAATGCTTTAAATGGTACACTGAGGATGATTTCATGAGATATGCATCATTGAATTCAGTATTGATTCAGAAGATCCTAATACAAAGTGAAGATGTTTTGACTTTGATACCATGATATACAGAGATGTATAACTTATTCCATGAGCTCTGTATGGAATTCTGCTCAAAATCATCATTGTAGAGTCCATTGAACAAGATTCTTGCATATCCCAACATAAAATAACTTTTCATGTTTGCTTAGCACCATATTTGCAACTGTTGCCTCTTAGCAATAAATCATGGCAACAACATGCCTATTGTTCTTGGAAAAAACTTTCTTTCGCCCTCTTTCTTTCTTTCTTTATTATTTCATATGGAGACTATACCTTTTACCTTTTTCTCCGAAGCGCACCACTTAGCTATTAGGCATTTAGTGCAGTACACAAATTGTTCCAAGACTTCCATATTCCATATGTTGACGAGGAGGGAGGTTGAGTCGTGGCCAGTATATAGGTGTTAAAGTGCGGACAATAGTGAGATCCAAGGTCAAGGAATGACCCAACTCTTGGCGGGTGCCCACATACTGCGGGCAAACTAGTCAATAATGAAAAGATGTTTCTGGTGAGCCATAGTGGGGACAATCAGGCGAGACGTGCAGGCATTGTGAGTAAAGGAACCCGTTCAACGGGGCCGTATCAGTGCGAAGACGGGCCAATAGAATTTCAGTGTTACGTAACAATGTGTGTTGATAGATCCAGGATGAGAAAGGTCGGAGATTGTCACGACCTTTTCTTTGGAGAATAGTGGACCAGGTATCGAAAAAAACTTGGAGAGTTCACCTTTATTTCAATGTTAAAAAATATTATATCTATTGTGTAGTTTATGAAGTAATACATCTTTAAATTGTGTCATGGACTTATGAATAACCCTGTATTTTATGTTTCTGAAGTTAACATATGCTATAAAAATTTTATTACTTATAATAATTATCGAAAATATAATATTTTAAATATTATCTATTCTGTAATTGAGTAATTTTAAAATATGTCCCTAACATTTTTAATTTGGATAAGTCCCTAAAAACTCTATTTTATAATCAAAGGGACAATGCAGCCCTATATATTTAGCAGATCTTAGTATGTAGTAAGTTATCTAATAATAAAAACTTGTTATAGTTGAAAGAGATCCCAGCAAAAGAAGAGTCAAACCTGTAGAAAAACATCTGCAGTTGTTAGACTTTGCTGATCTTGATGACAGTTCTGACGACAGTGACTTCAAAATTGGAGATCACGAACAAGGTTAGTAATGTAAAATTATCAATAACGTTATATAACAAAGCGTGTTAATTAAAAGAATGTGAATTTGTTTTCTGTTGTTAGAATCTGACAATGATGATTCTGGTGAGAGTTCTGCAGGAAATGAAGAAGCAAGTGAAGAAGAAGAAGAATCAAAACCTGCAGAAGTCATTCCAGAACCACCTCCAGAAAATGTTGAAACTACTGCTAAAGCATTGAAAGTATCGGTTGGAGAATTAATTGAGAGAGCAATGCAAAGACAAAGTCAGGCAAGACAACGGGTCTGTAAATAATTACGGGAAATAAAAGAAATTTTTCATTGTACTTCCCATATTTATTTTTGTGGTTTTCTTCTTCTTTTTTTTATAGATATCAACGGATGGATCCGCTAAAAAATTAAAAGTGCTGATATGCAGTGTATGCTTAGGAGACATTAGGTATGGCAGTTTGAATCTGGGAAAGCTAATTAAATTTAAACTTTCATACACTTTTTAAAACATTGTTACCAAGAGGAATGTGAAATGCAAAATTTTTTATATTCAGCAATTTCCCAGAAATTTTTGCTAGCTAATTGGACAAAAGAAAATTTTGTGCAGTATTATAAAAATTTTTGTTGTACAGGGGGAAATTGTAATTATAAATACAAATGTACTGTAGAACCTTGATTACCTGGATCATTATGTGCACAGGTAATCTGGATAATCAAGACTGCATGAAGTAAGTATTGTAATTCAAACCAGAAGTGAACACAGCAGAGTATTGTAATTCAATTAAAATTATCAAAAGTGGAAAGATAATGGATTTATCTGCACAAAAACCTAAGGTTTTATGTAAGTACAATGTAGTAATTTTGATAAACAATGTAACTCAAGCTGAAAAGTAGTCTGGTATAGTTTTTTTTTTTTTTTACTTTTTGTGAGAAGTAAAATTTCAAAGCTATTTTCTTTCATTAACCTTAGACATCACTTCCAGTAATGAGCTGTTATTTTTTTTCAGCCTACTGGATGTATGTTTCAAAATGGTCAAATGCAGCTTCATGAGAAATTTTTGTTCTCAGTAAATTCTGTAAAAAGACCTTCAGAATCTGATTGAACTTCAATGATTTCATCATTGGATGAAGTTGATGAACAGTTTCTGTACCTTAATTGTTTCATTAAAGAATGTCTGTTGAAATAAGCCACACAAATCAAAAATTTTTTCTCGGGTAGACTTTATTTCCATCAGTTTTCATACACTCTGTCACATTATCATTTTGAAAAGGAAGCATTAGTCAATGTTTTTAAGATTCTCTCACTGGTTTCATTCCAGGTTTCTGACAACCAGTACACATCTTTTCAGATAGATTTTAGAGTGAAAGCAATACTTATAATCTTTGTGCAGAACTACATACAATAACTGTGTTGAAATCTGATGATCTGATTCATAGGTTACATTGGGAGAAAGAAACATTTATTGAAAGTTCTTGAGGATGTGCAGCTTTCTTTGGAAGGCCTACAGAGCATAAATTTTGTTTCATTTGAGAATAAGCTACTTTCAAACACCAATCTTTTAAAATTTTCTATGTTGTTCTTGCACTTCCTTGAAAATTGTACGAGAGAGAGAGATTAAGTTGCTGGAATGGTTTAGGCTGCTTGGAATTTTTTGTAAGCAGCATATTTATCTTGTGTGTTCCAGAAGCATTTTCACAAACCATGAAGGTGTTTGTCTATGCTGTTTTCTCTCTGCTGCTTGAACTTTGTGAACACTAAAGTTTTCATTTAAAAGCATTCTTCAGTAAAGGCTGTTTTCAACAGCATTATAAATTTACTCCATCTAAAGATTTTTAAAACTATTTATGTAAATTAATGTCAAAGGCATGAACAGTGTTAACATCAGTTGAAAGATTTTCACCAGATATAGTCAGACCTTGAATACAAAATATGATTTAAAGTTTTGTAGCCAACTTTCACTTGTGTTGAGAGTGATTCTTACTGTGATTTTTATAAAACAATTTTGCCTTCTTGGATAATATTGGGCCTCTAATTGGCAAGACTTTGCTGCATTCTTGCACAAACCTGGGAGTACAGTGCTTTTCCTACTTGTTGATTTTCTACTTACTTGAATGTCTTCCTTTTTTTTTCTCTGAACTGCACTTGTTTTAGAAGAAAACTTTTTACCTTGGTTTTATTTTTTTAATGTGAGAAATTGTCAATGTTCCTATTCTGTAAATTTATGCTACTTCTATCTTTTTTGATGCTTTAAAATTTCTATTTAGTCTCTATTGTCAAAATTGTCCATCTAGTATGACTTTTCACTCTATTTTCCATTGAAAGAAGTGATCCAAAAATAAATACAAGGTGCAGTTATTGTCTCCTATTCATCCTTCTAACATGGAAGAAGGGCAGAAGATGCATACTGTAATGTATGCTTTACTGTATTATATATTCAGAATTGCACTCAGATAGATAATAGAAGGTCTGGATGATTCTAGATAATCAAGATTTTATCTATTGTACATGTGTATGCATGCATACATACAGGGTGATTCACTGATAGCATTCAGTACTTTTTTTTTTGAAACCATTAGAGATAGGAAGATGGTATTAATAACCAAGTTTATAGAGCAGACTGGAATAATTTTTGGTAACCTTTGGATGATCTTGAAAACCAGCAGTTTTAGAGACAGGAACAAAATAGTTGTCTGTTTTGCACTTTTGTAGTTGGTTTCATGGCTATCCTTCATAATTTATACTCTATAATTCTTTTCATATGACATACTGTATTAAGTACTTTCTTCTTATCAAGGTATCCATTTTCAGTGCACTCATTTTTCTTCCATTTGCTTTCACATTCACGTTTTGTATTATATTTGATATTTATTTATTTAATACTAGCAGATGAGCTCGGCATTGCTCGAGAAAAAAGTATTGATAGCAAAGATTAAGATTATTAGATTATAGCCAATCTTACCCGTTTTATCGAGTGCAAGAATGTCCCTTTTCTTCTGAGACTAATTAGAAAATTTTTAGATATCTGCTTACCACAGTGGGATAATGATAATTAAGACTCACTGCAACCACTAACCAGTGCATAGTGCCATTAAGTGATGAATAAACGTTTTTGTAACTCTTTCTGGGTTCTTCTTCAGATTTACTAAATTCCAAAAATAAGCTGGATCTTCCAGAATCATTCATAAATATAAATTCAAACAAAATTGAACATTAAGACGAAGAGTTTGAATAAAGCAAACTTATGCGCATGTGCTCTTCATGTCAACTTTATATATGAAATGCTTGTATACACACGTGCCACCTATCGTAGGATAAATGTACTATGCCAGAAACTTTCGCGGGAGTGTATTAAACAACTTCCCAAAGTTTCATGGCAATTGGATAAATGGTGTAGTAATGCATGAAGGACAGACAGGCATACATTCATTTTTATATATATAGATTTATTTATATTTGATATTCACTTTTGGTGTTGTATAAGAATAGTTACCACTAAGGTGTGTGCGTGTGTAACATTTCATTTATTTTTAAATTATTCTTTTCTTGTTTGTTTCCTCAGTTCTCTTTCTTCTTGTTTTAATGCCACTCATAAATATTTATAGTAATCACAAACTGTGTTCTATATTATTCAGTTTGATACTACTATCTATACTTTCTACAAATAAATATCTTATATTCCAATGTTAATAGATAATCCACATACATTTCAAGTGCATTGGAAAGAGATTGTGCTAAGTTAATTCATCACATAGGCCAGTCTCTGCAATGTCTGTTAGCATTCAGTGAATTTATTATTGATTTGATGTCTTTACTACTACACTTATCAGTTTCATCTTTCATAAAATAACTGTTGTTTTCATTGCTTAGCTTCAAAATATAATTTTTATAAATACAAAATACTATTGTTATACTTAATATGAACAAATCAGATTCATGCACTGATAAAATATTGTTTCCAATTGTGGAAAGGTACTGTAGAAAACAAAACAAATTTTTTGTTTTTCCTGAGCAGAGAAATGTCACATAAAATTCTAGTTTATATTTGAAATAAAAAATTTGCAAGTTCATAAACTTAAGAAAATAAAGAAAAGAAAAAGCTTTTAATTACATTTTAATTCTGTTTTTAAAAAACACTGAATATTTAGAGTTGGTACTATTTGTTGTCAGAATTTTAAGATGATAATAATAATAGTACAGCTGATAGCAAATTATTTGCTGATGTATATTTTAAAATTCTTTTAGTAATAATAGGTCTTAAAACCAAGGAAAATAATATAAACATGTTAAAACAAACCATGTATTCTTTGTAAATGCTTTTGATAATACAGGTATTATCATCATTGGGCACTTACAATATAGTAATGGAATAAGAACATCTAAAATTTTAAATTCAAAATAATTGATTTTTTTAAACACATTGTATCACTTACATAATAAAATGTACCATATTAATATATTCCCTAGATTATACTGTACAATTAGTTTGTTAAATAACATTTTTTGTTAACTGTAATTAAATGATGATTTAGCATGAACTTATTAAGTACTTTGATGAATCCTTTTAAGATAATGAGATTAGTTCTTGGTAAAGGTCAAGATCATATGGTTACATGGTTAGTATGCATATTGTTTTAGAAATGACTTGTTTTGCATTTTACACAACAAGCCATATAATCAATTGACCTTTTGGAGTGCTGGATCTTCTTTATTAAGTATGTGGCACAAGATAAAAAAGTTTATCCAAGTGATTTGTTTAATTAAATAATATAAAGTTTTATTAACAAAATCATATATATTGTACAGTACATTAATAAATTACATAATTATAATTTCTTCATAACTGATGCAATGTGTATTAAAACTATCAAATATTTTGAATTTAAATACTAAATGTACTTATACCATCCTCCTATTATAAATGCCTGACAATGATTTTAATGTTAAAGTACATGCAAAGACTATTTGATATGTTTTAAAAATGTTTTTTCTCTTGTTTAAAAAATTACTAACATCAAAAGATAGTTTTAAAATACACTAAGTTACAGTCTGTAAAGAAATTATAAACTCAAGTGAAATTTCTCTGTGTTTTAATTTCTTTTCATCCACAGTTCGTTGTTGCTATATCTAATGATTTTAATTAGTTTTACGAATTTATAATGAAATAAACAAGTCTTTGTATTGTATCATTTTAATAAACAATCAAAAATTTTAATTGTTACAATTTTTTGTTGTAAACAATTTATAAACTCAAGGGTGAAAACTGATTATTACAGTTGAATGGAACAATCCATTCAACTGTAATAGTAATGTAAATTAGTATGTGTAACATTTTGGGTGAGTCTGAGAATTCAAACTAAAAAAGTGACAAAAATGCCAAGGGGAATAACCCTAACTGAAAGTGAAATATGAAAAATCTATTTCTTTAAGGGAAAAGGATGGCCAACTCGAAAAATTGCTTCAAAACTTGGTAGATCTCAAACTGCAGTACAAAATGTACTAAAAAAGGGTGACAATTATAACAAAATTAAACGTACAGGACGAAAACCAAGTCTGCAGCCTCATGACCATTGCCGCATTGCTAGTCTTGCAACAAATGAATCATTGTCTACTCGTGAGATAGCTGCAGTTTTACCAACTCCAGTGTCCCACAAAACTGTGTAGAAAAGCTTGAGAAAGAATAAAACAATAAACTTTAGGAAATTGAAGTCCAAACCAAAGCTACAGAGTTACATCGGTCAACAAGGCTGCAATGGGCAAAAGATCATGTTAATTGGACAACTGAATGGATAAAAATAGTTTTCTCAGATGAGAAAAAGTTTAACCTGGATGGCCCGGATGGCCAAGCATATTATTGGCATGATACAAGAAAAAATCCCAGGGTCAAATTCAGTAGACAACAAGGTGGAGGTTCAGTAATGATCTGGGCAGCAATCGGATATGAAGGAAAAACAATTTGGCATTTATTAATGGGCGAATGAATTCTGAGATGTACCAAGCTATCTTATATGAACATCTAATCCCATTTGGTCCTCTCATTGGCGGTCAAGACTGGATCTATCAACAGGACAATGCATCTGTTCACAAGTCAGCCAGTACTACAAAGTGGTTTTCACGAAAAAATTGAAGTTATGGTTTGGCCAACACATAGTCCAGACCTTAATCCCATTGAAAACCTTTGGAGTCAACTTGTGGCATTAGTTTATCGCCGTGGAAAACAATACAACACATCCGATGAACTTAAAGTTGCATTGTATAATGCCTGGGACAAAATTAAACAAAGTGACATTCAAAACCTGGTTGATTCAATGCCTAAACGAGTTGTGGAGGTAATTGAAAACAAGGGAGGGTCCACAAAGTATTAAAAACGTACTAAATCACCCTTGAGTTTATAAATTGTTTACAGCAAAAAATTGTAACAATTAAAATTTTTGATTGTTTATTAAAATGATACAATACAAAGACTTGTTTATTTCATTATAAATTCGTAACACTAAATAAAATCATTAGATATAGCAACAATGAACTATGGATGAAAAGAAATTAAAACACAGAGAAATTTCACTTGAGTTTATAATTTCTTTACAGACTGTATTACCTGATATGTGCCATTATTTACTAAGAAATGATTTGACAGTTAGGAATTGAGCACAAGATATTTTATAAGTCTTTGTACATCTTTTACAAAAATTAAAATAGCAACAGCTATCTAAAAGCTAATATATGCATACATTTATCATTCTTTTAACTATTTTTTGTTTTGTCAATTGAACAACATGGCAGATATTACATCACAATTATCTTTGTTTCCAACATAAATAGTAGAAATTTACAATAATTGCTAGCCTATCATCAATAGATGAATAGAATATGACTATTGGTTCAAATACAGAACTAACAAACATCAGCATCCAATTACATATAGTAAACATTTATGATTGTAGATAATATATCATTTTTGAGTTAGATTAAAATATTTTGAAATGTTAACATTGGACAGATATGTTAAAAGCTAAAAAAAAAAGGTATATGAAGTTTGTGTGTGTGTGTAAAGAAATAATCATCAAAACAGGTAATTTAGCCAATCAGAATATTTCCTATTTTATTTATGATGTGTGATCTATATTCTGTCAGTCATATCTAGTCTAACATCACACTCCAGCAAACTGGAAATACCAGTACCTTCATTATCTCTTTTGCTTTGAAGATTTTAAGTATCTATAGCAAATTTTGGATAAAACTTTGTTTTAATTTGCAGATATTTTGGTGATTATTTTATATTTATTAAATATTTCTTTAATTAGTTTTGCATTTAGTCATTTGAGATAAAAATGATTCCTATTCCAGACAATAATGGCATTGCATCCTGTTCTGATATATTAGCTATGTGATTGTGCCACACACCTGCTAGTTAAATTAATGTATATTTAATTAGATAATGTATTTTGTTTGTTTCTTTGACCATATTATTTATGTAGAGATAATGTGCTAATTTATATAATTAGTCTGTCAAACAAATTTTTTAAAAATATATTTACTAAATTAACGTGTAATCTTTTTTGTTGTGTTCATTAATTTAAAAGATGTTTTGATTTTTAATGTTTCATGATACTTTATGAAAAACATTTTTATGTAAATATTTTCAATTTTTGTAAACTTTTATGAAGAAAAAAATCATTGAATATAACTTGATTATTTAGTTCAAGAAAATTTGATCATATTTACTTATTAAGAAACAGAAACAATAATAGAAATGTAACATACATATCAGTAGCTTTTATATATATATATATATAATTTTTATTTCAGATCAAAACATGAAATTTTAAGATATTTGCAAAATCTTTAAAGTTTTGTATATAAAATGAATCTTAACTTTCAGCAAAGGCATTATAAGAGTGTTAAAAAATGTATTTTAAATTTTAATTAGTTTAATTTTACAGTAAAATTTTATATTAGAAACATATTAGATGATTTTTAAATCCTAGTTAAGAAATAATTATATAGTAATTAACTTTTATACTTATTCTCAATAAAATAATTTTATAGATAAGATACTTTTGCACATCTATATAGTTTTCAAATAAAGGTATTTTAATTATTAATTAAGTTAGGTTATAATATCTATGAATATAATGGGATTTAAAATTATAGTAATTACCTCTTTAAAAGAGAACTTTAAAAAAATTTTTTTTAATTTTTAGACGGTTATGTCATTACAAATAAAAAGGTACATTAATATATTTCAATCAAATATTGTAATTTTGAATATTATTTTTAGTGAAGAAGATGATGAAATTGTTGAATGTGATTGTTGTGGAGTTTCTGTTCATGAAGGTAAATTTTATACAAAAATTTTTCTAAGAAGTTATAATATACAGTGATGAAAATTAAAAATGAAGCACTTACGTAATTATTCAAACATATAATTTAATCATCATGATGAGTAGTAAATTTGTTTGTTTGAAATGCTTTTAAATATATTTGTTAAAATAAGTATTTATATACTGCACTTGGAAAACAAAATTTACGTAAGTACAGTAAACTTAAATATTGTAGTTTTTGTTTCATGGAGAGGATGGATGAATTTTTGAAATTTGACAAAGCATCAAAGATTCAATTTGTTAAACACAAAACATTTTATTGTGAATAAGAGGTGCTGAAATTCTTTCTTTGTAAACTTTCAGGTGAGTTTGAGAATTTCAAAACAGCACTTCTAATATTCAAAGGTTTCACTTGAAGATGACTTTGCACCTGAAAGTTTACAAAGAAAAGGAAGACAAAACATTTTATTAACATGAAGTATTAAATATGAAGAAATATTTCATTTCAAAAAATGTTTTTGAAGGAATTTTTTCTTAGACTACAATTTGAAAAAATTATAGATCTATAAATTCCCACTATCATCTGTGTCTCAAGATTAAGGAAGGCCAGACAATGGTGTTAGATAGATGAAAGTCAAGACCAGATATGGAAATCTTAGGGGCTGGAGATCCTGATTAACTATATATGAATGTCTGGTTTAGACTAGAAGTCACGTGATTTCAATTCAAAAATTTTCCCTGAATGGAGTTACATAGATGACTGGCATGGCTCCATTCTTGTCAGGAAAAGTATGATGTACAGGAGCAAGACACTACTAATTTCAGATAGAGAACGTATATTTTAAATTAAGAATAAGATTGTCACAATGCTGAGTTGCAATTTTTAATGTCACAATAAATAATTCCTCATTGGAGATGTATTTTTGACAATTTTTTAATGAATTGTTTGCATAAGAAATAAGTAAAATTTTAAATAGCATTTTTTGTCAATTGTTTTTATTTTATGTCAGTAATATTGGGTTGAACCAAAAGTTCGTTCGAGTATTTACATAATTGCTTGTCTGTGGCACCTTTGTCGTGCTTATCAAGTTTTAACTTGTTTAGGTTGACAGTATGAATATTTGCACATTTATTACATAAGTTTAATTACAGCTATTTTTTTAAAATTTTATTATCTTTCAAGGAAAACAAACATTAAAATGGAAGATAAGAAGGTTCATTTTTGACATCTGATGCTCTATTATTTCCAAAAAGGAAAAAATGCAACAAAAACTCAAAAAAAGATATGTGCTGTATATAGGGAGGATGCAGTTACTGATCAAACATGCCAGAAATGGTTTTCAAAATTCAGGGAAGGAGATTTTCTTTCAAAGATGCACCTTGGTCAGGATTTAGACAACGGTCAAAGTTTTTCTTAGCAGTTTTTGTTTGGTAAAGATAATCTTGGTGCTTGGAACTGGTACCCACAGGATTTTCACCTGTATTTACATTACAGGCAAAATGTAAGTGCCAAGCTTATCTTTACCTAAACAAAATTTTGACTCTCTAAATTGTCATAAGTTTTATTTTGCATAAGTTTTTTTTACATCTCAGATGTTTCTGTTTGGATATAGTCTTGTCTACTACTAATATAGGTTATACAAGGTTGAATCAAAAAGTATCCAACCTTATTTTTTTTTCTTTTGCAAGTATTTGCAATCTGAATAGAGACTGTTGTCATGTAACTTTGGACCTTACTGCATGTAGATGAATTTCGGCAAGCCCTTCGTACCATACAGTCACTGTCAGGCAGCCATGATAGTTGCATGTATATGCTGTTATTATTGCATTAGTGATTTGGCAGAACATGACTAATCCTGATTTTATGAAGGTTATAACCAGAGATTAGACCTGGATCTACAGATATGATCCTGAGACAAATGCACAATCATTCCAGTAGAAAATGCTATGATTTCCACAGTCAAAGAAGGCACAAAAATCACACAGCAATATGAAGGTCGTGTTTTTTTTACCACCAGGGCAAGGCATCATGAATATGCCTCTCATGGAAAAATAAAATGTGACAAAGGACCTGACTGTTTTACATCACCTATGAGATGCTGTTAGATGCAAGATTTCTCAGCTCTAGCAGCCTGGTTTATTCAATGCTCCAGCCCACAGGTTATATCTCATTTAGACATTCCTTGCAAAACAAGATATTGCACAGATTCATTAGCTTCCTTACTCTCCAGATGTGGCTCTGGCCAACTTTTGGCTCTCTCCCAAACTCAAGATGCCATTCAAAAGAAAGGAGTTTTGGGACACATAGGCAATCAAGACTAACGCAATGAAGCACCTGAAGATTCCAATAAATGATTTTGAAAAATGCTTTCATTAATGGAAGCATCACTGGGAAAAGTATGTGAACTCAGAATCTCTTTTGAAGTTGAGTAGTGTTTGAACCAGATAAATATGCAGGTTTCTTTCCTCAAGTTAGATACTGTTTGATCAGATCTTGTATGTAATACAATGGAAAATATTTATGTATCAAAATGTGGAAAAGGTACAGACCGCTATGAATTTTTTTCAGTTCCATTATATTACGAATACATACTATATCTTATGTCCTCTTGCATATGAGGTCTGTCATTAAGTGGCACATACCTGTATGATACCATCTCTATTCAGGCCAAATTTCATTAAACTTAGATAATAGTTTACTGTTTCATTTTTAATTTGTTTCAATCTGTTTCAAGTATGTAACATAGTATTTGATTTATAATAGGTTGCTATGGAATTAGTGACACAGATACTGTTGTTAGTACTGTGTCTTCAAGTTCTACAGAGCCATGGTTCTGTGATGCATGTAAAGCAGGCAATACTAATCCTGTAAGTATTAAAAATTTGTTAAGAAATTATTTATGAACAAACTTAGTGAAAATTATAGTATGGTGAAACACTGCAGTTGCAGTTTGATATTTATTTTTAAAAAACTGTGTGTAATATATTTTGTTGAGTTTTGATTAATGCCATTGATTTGATTTAAATCAATGGCATTAATTAATCAAGACATTGAATTTTTTCCAATGAAAAAGATGTTTGTTTAGATTAGAAAAATTAAATATTAACTTTCATGTCCATTATTTACAAATAGTTATAAATTATTTTATCATAAAATAATTTCTTGCACTAATTTTAACTTTTTTTTAATAAATTTAAAATAATAGAAATTATCTGTGTAATTTTAGCATTATCTATTAAATTATGCACTACAAAAATAAGTTGGGAAGATTCTACATGCATGTGCTTATGACATTTGACAAATAAATGTGTATGATCATCATCAGCTAACAAAACATTTTAGCAAGGTCAAAAACATTTCTAATTAAATACTTCTGTAACCTCAATTTCAGCAGTTTTTCTTTTGTTGTTAGCATATCAAATTCATTAGCAATTTGAGTTTAGATTTATCTTAAATAATTTTAGTTGCTTGAAACATATTTTATGATTATTATTCAAACTATTAAAAAATGAAAATAATGAAAAAGAAAACAGTCGGTTGATTTGCTAGATTCATTCCTCCAAAACTAGTTTAATTCACCAAAACAAGAAAACAAATTATTTAGTAAACTAACTGTCATGTGTTTACTAAATAGGGCTGTGGAGTCAGAGTCGTGGAGTTTTGGTGTTTTAGTCAGAGTCGTCAAAAAATTTGCCGACTCCAACTCCTGTTTACTTCCCAACTTGTTATGTAAATAAAACGGAAAAGTATTGGAATCATGTCAAATTTGACACTCCAAGTTTCTTTTGCAAATCTACACGTGTGCAGACCTCCCAAACCCCTTGAAAAAGTCAATAAAAGGGGAAAAATTCGTGGGAGTGTGTGTGTTGGCATCTAATTTGTTTAATTTCTTTATTTTCTGTTCTGAGATATTAAACAATATCTCGGAATGGGTAAAGTTTAAGAAACAAAATGTGGCACTGTGACTCGCTTATAAAGGGGCATTAATACTATTAAATTTTGGTTCTTAATTAAAGGTCGCCAGGGTGAAGACCTAAAAGTGGTCATGTGTCATATCTCTTAATGAATATTTTACTCGTTATTAGCGTTCAAAATTTAAAAAATAATAATAAAATAAAACTCGTCTGTACCCTCAAAGTAAGCTTTTTTGTCATTTTATAATAGTACAGTAAAACCCATTAAGATGTTCTTGCCTAAGATGCTAGAATGTATATGGGGACATGATTTAGTTCAACCACTTTGACGCTTAATAACTAATTCTTGTGTTAAACCATCTGACTCCGATTCTGACCACTCTGACCACAGAAATTATTAGGCTTCAAACAGGGTGAACAAAATCATCACACACACACACACACACACACAGAGAGAGAGAGAGAGAGTCTAATATCCACACATATAGAAAAAAACCTTGAATCTTTTGTATAAAGTATCTCGAAATTTCAAGGTGTCCTGAGTCCAAAAATGTAAAAATTTGGGAGGGGTCATTTTTTGACTGAGCGCTACACTTTTCCTCTGTTATATATAACAGCTGGAGAAGTAAAAATTATAGAATACATATTTATATATTACTTAGAGAAGTCTTTTAGCTTTGGAATAAAAAGTATCTATGCTCTATCTTTAATATAACAGCTGGAGAAGTAAAAATTATTGAATACATATTTATATATTACTTAGAGAAGTCTTTTAGCTTTGGAATAAAAAGTATCTATGCTCTANTTCACTTGAGTTTATAATTTCTTTACAGACTGTATTACCTGATATGTGCCATTATTTACTAAGAAATGATTTGACAGTTAGGAATTGAGCACAAGATATTTTATAAGTCTTTGTACATCTTTTACAAAAATTAAAATAGCAACAGCTATCTAAAAGCTAATATATGCATACATTTATCATTCTTTTAACTATTTTTTGTTTTGTCAATTGAACAACATGGCAGATATTACATCACAATTATCTTTGTTTCCAACATAAATAGTAGAAATTTACAATAATTGCTAGCCTATCATCAATAGATGAATAGAATATGACTATTGGTTCAAATACAGAACTAACAAACATCAGCATCCAATTACATATAGTAAACATTTATGATTGTAGATAATATATCATTTTTGAGTTAGATTAAAATATTTTGAAATGTTAACATTGGACAGATATGTTAAAAGCTAAAAAAAAAAGGTATATGAAGTTTGTGTGTGTGTGTAAAGAAATAATCATCAAAACAGGTAATTTAGCCAATCAGAATATTTCCTATTTTATTTATGATGTGTGATCTATATTCTGTCAGTCATATCTAGTCTAACATCACACTCCAGCAAACTGGAAATACCAGTACCTTCATTATCTCTTTTGCTTTGAAGATTTTAAGTATCTATAGCAAATTTTGGATAAAACTTTGTTTTAATTTGCAGATATTTTGGTGATTATTTTATATTTATTAAATATTTCTTTAATTAGTTTTGCATTTAGTCATTTGAGATAAAAATGATTCCTATTCCAGACAATAATGGCATTGCATCCTGTTCTGATATATTAGCTATGTGATTGTGCCACACACCTGCTAGTTAAATTAATGTATATTTAATTAGATAATGTATTTTGTTTGTTTCTTTGACCATATTATTTATGTAGAGATAATGTGCTAATTTATATAATTAGTCTGTCAAACAAATTTTTTAAAAATATATTTACTAAATTAACGTGTAATCTTTTTTGTTGTGTTCATTAATTTAAAAGATGTTTTGATTTTTAATGTTTCATGATACTTTATGAAAAACATTTTTATGTAAATATTTTCAATTTTTGTAAACTTTTATGAAGAAAAAAATCATTGAATATAACTTGATTATTTAGTTCAAGAAAATTTGATCATATTTACTTATTAAGAAACAGAAACAATAATAGAAATGTAACATACATATCAGTAGCTTTTATATATATATATATATAATTTTTATTTCAGATCAAAACATGAAATTTTAAGATATTTGCAAAATCTTTAAAGTTTTGTATATAAAATGAATCTTAACTTTCAGCAAAGGCATTATAAGAGTGTTAAAAAATGTATTTTAAATTTTAATTAGTTTAATTTTACAGTAAAATTTTATATTAGAAACATATTAGATGATTTTTAAATCCTAGTTAAGAAATAATTATATAGTAATTAACTTTTATACTTATTCTCAATAAAATAATTTTATAGATAAGATACTTTTGCACATCTATATAGTTTTCAAATAAAGGTATTTTAATTATTAATTAAGTTAGGTTATAATATCTATGAATATAATGGGATTTAAAATTATAGTAATTACCTCTTTAAAAGAGAACTTTAAAAAAATTTTTTTTAATTTTTAGACGGTTATGTCATTACAAATAAAAAGGTACATTAATATATTTCAATCAAATATTGTAATTTTGAATATTATTTTTAGTGAAGAAGATGATGAAATTGTTGAATGTGATTGTTGTGGAGTTTCTGTTCATGAAGGTAAATTTTATACAAAAATTTTTCTAAGAAGTTATAATATACAGTGATGAAAATTAAAAATGAAGCACTTACGTAATTATTCAAACATATAATTTAATCATCATGATGAGTAGTAAATTTGTTTGTTTGAAATGCTTTTAAATATATTTGTTAAAATAAGTATTTATATACTGCACTTGGAAAACAAAATTTACGTAAGTACAGTAAACTTAAATATTGTAGTTTTTGTTTCATGGAGAGGATGGATGAATTTTTGAAATTTGACAAAGCATCAAAGATTCAATTTGTTAAACACAAAACATTTTATTGTGAATAAGAGGTGCTGAAATTCTTTCTTTGTAAACTTTCAGGTGAGTTTGAGAATTTCAAAACAGCACTTCTAATATTCAAAGGTTTCACTTGAAGATGACTTTGCACCTGAAAGTTTACAAAGAAAAGGAAGACAAAACATTTTATTAACATGAAGTATTAAATATGAAGAAATATTTCATTTCAAAAAATGTTTTTGAAGGAATTTTTTCTTAGACTACAATTTGAAAAAATTATAGATCTATAAATTCCCACTATCATCTGTGTCTCAAGATTAAGGAAGGCCAGACAATGGTGTTAGATAGATGAAAGTCAAGACCAGATATGGAAATCTTAGGGGCTGGAGATCCTGATTAACTATATATGAATGTCTGGTTTAGACTAGAAGTCACGTGATTTCAATTCAAAAATTTTCCCTGAATGGAGTTACATAGATGACTGGCATGGCTCCATTCTTGTCAGGAAAAGTATGATGTACAGGAGCAAGACACTACTAATTTCAGATAGAGAACGTATATTTTAAATTAAGAATAAGATTGTCACAATGCTGAGTTGCAATTTTTAATGTCACAATAAATAATTCCTCATTGGAGATGTATTTTTGACAATTTTTTAATGAATTGTTTGCATAAGAAATAAGTAAAATTTTAAATAGCATTTTTTGTCAATTGTTTTTATTTTATGTCAGTAATATTGGGTTGAACCAAAAGTTCGTTCGAGTATTTACATAATTGCTTGTCTGTGGCACCTTTGTCGTGCTTATCAAGTTTTAACTTGTTTAGGTTGACAGTATGAATATTTGCACATTTATTACATAAGTTTAATTACAGCTATTTTTTTAAAATTTTATTATCTTTCAAGGAAAACAAACATTAAAATGGAAGATAAGAAGGTTCATTTTTGACATCTGATGCTCTATTATTTCCAAAAAGGAAAAAATGCAACAAAAACTCAAAAAAAGATATGTGCTGTATATAGGGAGGATGCAGTTACTGATCAAACATGCCAGAAATGGTTTTCAAAATTCAGGGAAGGAGATTTTCTTTCAAAGATGCACCTTGG